AGCCTTATGCCTCACTCCTGAGGCCTACAATAAAGAATGAAAAATGCATAAAGGTATTTAGCATGTTAAGAAATGATACAAGATGCAACAGATCTTGAGCTATGACTTGCTTCATTGCATGACTGTGGTACTCCCTTGTCAACCATCCCACACCAACTATTAGTACAAAAAATTACTTCAAAGCATAAAAAGTGTTGCATTTTTTTTATGAGGCAACTTCTTATAAACACTCTTATTGACGTACAAAATGATAATGTCAAATTTGCTTCTAGGCATAATCTCAAAGACAATGTAAGGTTGTCACTCTACGACGAATGTAATAACTGGATGAGAAACCTCAAAAAGAAAAATGCAACTTTCTTGGGAGGCAAACAACCGAACCTAGGAGACCTGGCGGTATATGGCGTACTGAGCAGCATTGAAGGCTGCATAGCGTTTGAAGACCTTCTGAAGAACACATCAATCGGCTCATGGTACTGGCCGATGAAAAAACTCGTCCAGTCCAACATGGGCATTGTAATAAGTTAGTCAGAAAACTGTTAAGTCAGTGACCTCTAAGCACATTTTAATTTATTTTTATCGTGTATTATTCTGTACATACCGCTTTGTTTAATTAAATTATGTTTGTATAATTTTTTAGCTACCTTATTATCCTTTTGGTATATTAAAAATTTTCAGACTTGGATTATAGAACTAGATTTGTCGTAAGAAAAGGATGATCGTTTTGACTAGTTAATAGTTGATTTCACAACAGTGAAAGAGTTCATAATTACGCCGTCAAAAAAGTCTTATTTATTTTTTTCTCCGGGTTTTTAAGTCATGTTGCTATGTTGATACTGTTGATAGTTTCAGGATTCAAACCATTTCTTGATCTCCCCTTTGCTTTGACCAATTGCCTAATGTCGAATGGTCTCAATCTTGCTTAAGCCACTCTTCCGTGTATTGATTTTTGTTTGTTTTTTTTGTACTTACTTACTCACTAACTACAGTATTGTGCTTCTACTATAGTTACTGTCTAACTGATTTAAGGAATTTTGTTTTTGTTTTCACAGCTTTGGAGTTTGTGTATTCTTGGAATGTTGTGTTCCGTTTTATAGCCTGAACTGATAAAAAAAAATATGCATTAAATTGAGATAGTGTAATATTTGGTGAAGGCTCATTTCTTTAAGTTTTGGGTGTTTGATTTTATGATATTCCAAGCAGCTTTACACTTTTTACTACTATTTTCAGTCTAGTTTTGCCAATGATTTTCAGTCTATACATTTTTTTTTTCTAAGTTGTTCACAAATCCTTGGATTAGAAGAAAATGATTCTCTAAGGAACTTACTTAAAAATAAAATCTCCTGCTTGAGACCTGCAAGTTCGGTTGTGTACCATTTTTGTTTTGGTAACCCAATTTTTATCAGAACTATTTGTGATTTTTTTTCTTACGATAAAAATGTATTGAGTTAAGTTTACAAAGTTTCTGAAAAAACAAACAAACATGAAATCAAAGATATAGAGTCAGTTATACCATACATGACCTGCTCCCATCGGTACAAAAAAACATTTCCAACAAGTCACTTAACCTATGTTGAGGTAAAAATTGTTTCAAACATACTTGGTTAGGTTTGGTACCATTAGATGCAGTTTGGTTTTTCTTAATATCTAGGGTTATGGTAAATTTTAGGCTGTCATGATCTGAAAAAGGAAATAATTAAACTGCACAAAATTTGACAGATTCCCTATTAGTACGGTTAATAAATACATTGGATTGATATTGGGATTGAAATTCTGGCAGAAAAAGTTGAATCGTCTTAGTAAATTTAAACATTCTTTTCATCACTCCTTACCGAAAGTAACTATTTTCAATAACAGCTGATATCAAAGAAAATAGTTGTTTCCCAAGCTCTTATTTAGAGCGAGGGAAAAACAATCAGCTGATTTTCCCTCGCTCTAAATTTACTTTCCCTCGCCCTTGATTAGTTCTCTATTTATCCACTACACGCACTAGTGTTTTGTTACGGTTTATTTTAATGATTACAATCAGCTGTTTACATTGTTGCACAAGCTAAATCTATACAGAAACAGGCATTAGTTTGTTTTGCTGTGTTTTTAGCAAATTTCCCATATAGGGAATAAGCTATTACCGTAGTACTCAGTAAGACCTGGACTCGGGACCGATGTAATTTTTCGTTTTGAGGTCCTTAGAGGCCAAAAACACTATCCGTCAAATTCATATATATGTATTCATATATGTGTCCGTTAGAGCAATAACTCAGGCAAAAATGATCCGATTTTGATGAAATTTGGTACAAACGTGTAAACCTACGTTTATTTGAACGAGTTCGGTAACCAGCATAATCGGACCATGGGAACAAGGGTTTAACAATAGAATCTGTAATTTCTTTTTAAACCGTTTTGTAGAGCTTACAAAATAAAAAAAATTAGTATATTGCAGCGCTGTTGTATGCCTAATGGTCACAGAGAAAATTCAAAAATTGTGTAATTTAAAATTCCCATGTTATTCTTATGGAGAAAATGAAAACAGTTGTAGTTTACTTGTTTATGGATATATATTTATAAAATTTGGCAAATTTATTTATTTCATCCTATACTATTGACGTATGGTCAAAAAACACTTTTTACCTTCCCCGTAGCAGCAAACCTAAGCACTCGTTAAATCTAATCATATACAGTAGACTCCCTCTTTTCCAGACTCCTCGGCACCGAGGCCAGTCTGGATAGCGGTTTTTCCGGTTAAACCGACGTCCCCAAAAACTCGTTAAAACGGACCGTTTGCTGTGATATTCGACTTAGATTTATGAGAGCATTATTTAGACACGCGATCACTGATCTCAAATCTTTCCCACGAGAACAGTCCTTTCAGTACCACCCTCTTCCTGCCAATCTAGTCCAGTTAAACCAATGTGCTGAAAAAAATTGTCCGGTTAAAGAAATGTCATTTCTGCCGAGTTTAGTCCGGTTAAACCGATGTCTGGTTTAAAGGTGTCCGGATTAGAGGGAGTATACTGTATATTAAAACGTGACAGGGTTTTTTATTTCACGATTCTGAATCAACCACTTGAAGTATTTTCATGATTTTTGTGTTGAAAGAAAGATAACTTGGAGAACTAGGGAATGTCGAAGCCATAATTTTAGTTTGGGGTTTCAGTTTTTCTAGCAGCCGACGCTAGCATTCTACACTAGATTTTTGTATAAAACAATTTGCTTACGTAACAGCTGTAAACTTGTGTGTGACACAAATTCAGCATTTGGATAATAATGACATGCATAGAGTTGACGATTGACTTATTTATACTATGTGTAATGCTATACTCATTGATACGTTCATTTATTGGGTAAGAGGATGACAGACTATTTAAATGTACATGGTAAAATTCTAGATGTTCTAATTTTTTTTTTGAGCAGTCTTTAAAATTTTAAGCTGTTTGGGCTATTAATTAACAGCTGTGTCTAAGGAATGTCGGCCTTAGTCACTAACAAGACTACAAGATCGCGCCACTCATCCTACACTCATCTCCATTCATACTTGGCTTAAAATACCTACATAGTATGGTCGCCATTTCATAAGAAAGTATAAAAGTATAAAAGTAAGTTTGTTTTAGAGCAATTTAATTTGTTTTAACTTACAGCTGGTTGAATATAAAAATATTCTTTAGAACCATCAGGTTAGTATATTATTCTGTGACTTTGCCATTGATTATAGGAAATAAGTAAGATTCTATAACCACTGATGTATACAAATCGAGACTCTACCCCCCGAGTCTTCAAAGGAAAGCTTATGCGAATTATTTGTCTTTCTGTTTGATTTTTTAAGGAAAGAATAGGAAAATTTCAATGTTTACTTATTTTAATTCATCTTGGCAGCTTTTTTACAGTAAATGTTTAACCACTCTTGAACTTTGCTTGGATTAGAAATGGAAATACTGATATACAGTAGAACCTCTTTATCCGAACTAATTGGGACCGGGGGTAGTTCGGACTATTGAATAGTTCGGATTACATAACAATAGCTAGGGAAAAGTGAAAAATGCTTTATAAAATAAAATACAGTTTTTATTTAATACATTAGTAAACATAGGGAATAAACAGTACTGTACATTACAATTGAAATAATTACGGTGCGTTTATCAATAAATACAGTATACAATAAAGAACTACTGTACTGTGTATAGAGTACAGCAATGAGGCGTTCGGATTACAGGGGTTCGGATTAAAGAGGTTCTACTGTAACTTCATTTTTAGTTGACTACTCAAATCCCGTACGTAGGACGGGCCAACAGCTTGTGTTATTTAACCCTCTAGATGTCAATTGACGTAATTACAGCGACTATTTTTCCGCCAATGTGTTAATTAATTACGGCGACTTGACAGGCCTACGGTTTCAGTTGATATAATCCCACAAGATCGAACAAACCCGGTCATTGGGCATACTAACGTGTTCAGGAGATTCTGGGCTTCACGGTGAGTATAAAAGACGGCCGTTTCCCGAACTATTTATCTTTTCTGTGATAGTTTTTCCATATGTCATTGTTTGTTTCGATTGCTAGTGAACGAATGTTTACGTTGTTCTGTTGTTGTGTGTCGTGATTTTTAGAGTTATTATAAAGAAAAACAGGGTGAAATTATATATTTTCTTTTTCCTTATTACGTTTAGAATAAAATGTTTATATCAGTTTTTGTAAATATAGTGATTTTTTTTACATGTGCGGTTATGTAAAAACATTAAAAACTTTTTTTGGAACATCTGGATTTGAACCAACAACGAATTGCTTTTCCCACTACCTTTACCCATATTGGTGACCCTTAGATAATAGAAGAGCTCATTTAAAAAAAAATTAATTATGTTAAGATATTAATCAACACAAAAACCTTTATTAACGTCACAATGTGAAGTACCGTATTTAATACAGTACAAGTAATATATAAATGAGGATGCTCTTGTGTATGAACCACTAAGAAATATATGTATCAAAGTATTTGCAAAAAAATGCTACGGACAAGTCTTATGAGGCTGATGTAGCTTAGTGTTATAATGTCTTTTATCATTGAGTTTGTATTGAATAAATAAATTGAATTGAATTTCTTTTATGATAGATTTTACACAAGCAGTGCACTTATAAGTGGCTCTCCAGTATGAACCAATGAATGTCTCTTCATTTTGCATATTGTCAGGGATTTTCCACGGGTAAAGCACAAATAAGGTCACTCTCTGGTTTTAACCATTCAACCATTGTAAGTATGTATGTATAATCTTGTTTGTTTTCTCATGAAGGATTTTAAACAAGTAGTACACTAAGATCGATTTCCAGTATGAACCAATCTTATATGACTTATTTTGTTTATGGTTGTGAAAGATTTTTTGCATTTTTAAGATTACTCTCCAGTATGATTTAATGTATGTTTTTTCATATAAATTTTGTTTGTGAAAGATTTTCCGCATGTACTGCACTTATAAGGTCACTTTCCAGTATGAACATATGTATGTTTTCTCATATAAGTTTTGGTTGTGAAAGATTTTCCGCATGTACTGCACTTATAAGGTCACTTTCCAGTATGAACATATGTATGTTTTCTCATATAAGTTTTGGTTGTGAAAGATTTTCCGCATGTACTGCACTTATAAGGTCGCTCTCCAGTATGAACATATGAATGTTCATTCATACTGTTTTTGTATTTGAAGGATTTTCCGCATGTACTGCACTTATAAGGTCGCTCTCTGGTATGAACATATGTATGTTGATTCATATTGCCTTTATATCTGAAGGATTTTCCACATGTATTGCACTTATAAGGTCGCTCTCCACTATGAACTAATGCATGTTCCTTCATTTTGCTATTGGATGTAAACAATTTTCCGCATGTACTGCACTCATAAGGTCGCTCTCCACTATGAACTAATGCATGTTCCTTCATTTTGCAATTGGATGTAAAAGATTTTCCGCATGTACTGCACTTAAAAGGTTGCTCTCCAGTATGAACCAATGTATGTCTCTTCATAGCACTTTTGGTTCGGAAAGATTTTCCGCATGTACTGCACTTATAATGTCGCTCTCCAGTATGAACCAATAAATGTCTCTTCATATTGCTTTGCTCTTTGAAGGATATTCCGCATGAACTGCACTTATAAGGTCGCTCTCCAGTATGAACCAATGAATGTCTTTTCATAGTATTTTGGGTTTTGAAAGATTTTCCGCATGTACTGCATTCATAAGGTCGCTTTTCAGTATGAACCAATGAATGTGTTTTCATAACTTTTTGGGTTTTGAAAGATTTTCCGCATGTACTGCATTCATAAGGTCGCTTTTCAGTATGAACCAATGAATGTGTTTTCATTTCATTTTTTGTTTTGAAAGATTTTCCGCATGTACTGCACTTATAAGGTCGCTCTCCAGTATGAACCAATGAATGTCTCTTCTTATTATTGTTAGTTGTGAAAGATTTTCCGCATGTAGAGCACTTATAAGGGCTCTCCTCAGAGTGTTTCATCAAATGACTCTTTACAAGCTTTAGTTGTACAAAGGTTTGCTCACATATCAAACATTTAAAGGGCCGCTCACCCGTATGCTCTAATATATGTGTCCTCATTTTCCAGTGAGATGAGAAGCTAATTGAACATACTGGACATTTATAAGGGAGCTGTTTATTGATGTTAAACATTTTTTACTTATCACTATCGAATTATGAGAAACACTTATCAGGACCAAGTAACTAACTACATGACTCAACTAGTCAGTATGATTTGTATGTCTATTTAAATATTTCCCTTGGTTGAAGAATTTGTTAACTGTTCAATAGTTACATACTCATTCATTTTCAGACATCTCTTGCTCAAATCTTGTTTCCAATGTGTTGTAAGTGTAATATAGGAGTTGAATTTTCCTTTTATCTGCTTGTTTTTTGTTAAATTATAATTATTTTTCTTATTATATCGAATTATATATTTTAAGTTTCTTTTCCTCATGTCTGGGATAGTATGTTGCCACTTCTGAAAAAGACCATGCTTTATTAGACATATATATTTTTATAACACATTTATTTAAGCTTTCTGTTCATTAAGGTTTAGCATTAATTTAAAAATAATACAATAATACTTGCTCATTAATATCATAATGATCCAAAATCAGGGTTGTACACGCACACAGCATTTAAAATTATGTTGGCTAATCTAAATAGGAATGGTTTAACATCTATTGTATTTGGAACTCTTTCTGAAGTTTCTAAAACCTCACGCCTTGAACATTGACTTTTCCTTTATTGCAAACAAGTTTAGCTTGCAAATTGTGGAATTTTTAGGAAGGGTTATAATATCCTATTACATGAGTCATTTCATTATAAAATCAACAGATACAGAATTCTTTTTAACCTGACCATCCTCGATTTTGTGGTAATTTTGCATACCTATTGTTAACTTCACTAGTATATATATATTAATCCTATCTACAGTAGTTAGTTTTAGCAATATTATTTCGCTATAGATAAGTAGCTATTACTGTGAGTGGCACGTTAAGACCTGGGCCCGGGACAGATTTACTTTCTCATTTTGATGCCCCAGAAACGTCTGCAGGTTTGCTGAGGCGGGGTATTTTAAATATATTAAAATGGTAAAAATTAGTGTTTTTTTTTGTGTGCCTGCTAATCTAAAATATTCTGTAATATCAGTTCTATTTGTGCTAAGAAGACCATGTGCTTTCATGTTATTTAATAACAAGAAGCTATTTAGGGAAATTCTAACACAGATATGCTTTGAAAACAGATCCAAAATTCGTCACCAAATATAAACACAATATTTTTTTTCTAATTTTTCCTGAAGAAGGCTTAAGCTGAAATATAGAACATTTTTTGTTAAGAAGTCTGAGTTTATTTTTTATGAACTGTATTTCATCCGTGGTTACAACTGAGTGCCCTGATGATGGTCAAATACTTTAATTTCACCATAGCTAGCACTTCACGTTCACTTGTTTACATTAATTTATAGAAAAAGGAGTGGTTGTGTTTTTCTACAATACTGTTTTAATAAAACCAAGGAGAGTAACACTAAGCTAATTAGGAGAAACTCTATCTCTAATTTGTACACAATTCACTTTTGTTTCTAAAACCAATCTGTTACTTATTTTACTTTTTTTAAGAACAGTTAAGCATTACATGCTGTTGATTCAGCGTCCTCTCTGTTGCAAAGCACAGGAAGAGCAGCAACGAAGTATTTAATTTGACAACATGACATTTTAATTGAGAAAAGCTTATTATAAATTTTAGACATTAATAGATTATAAAGTTGTTTCAAAAAGCTTAAAAATGCCACCACTTTATTAATTCCTGATTTTTTTTTTAAATCAAACGTCTTATTTTGGTCATTTGGTATACATGTTTAAATATTTTATGAACAAAACTTTTAACAGTAATCTCCTATCATTGAGTTGAGTTGATGGCGACTTCTGAACAAACAGGTGTATAGTCACTTGCCACTTCCCCACTACCTTTACCCATATTGGTGACCCTTAGATAATAGAAGAGTGGTCATTTTTTTAAATTAATTATGTACATATATTAATCAAATCAAATCAAATCAATTTTATTTCCACAATATATAAAAAATTTACAATTTTTCAAAAAAATAAAATACAAATATATATAGTCTTGAAGCATTATAGAGTAAATTGATTACGTAAATTAATTCTAGTAAAATTAAATTTATAAAGTTATAATAGTAAAAACTTAAATACTAGTTGAATGTTTGCTCCGGCTTGAATAATAACTAATGTAATAGATAAGGAAATGAGTCTACATGGACCTCAGTGGTCTGTGCGTAGACTCGAGTTGTTAAAAATTATATATATTTTTGAGCTAATTTGAAATAGAAGAAAAAGTTTAAGATTAAATATAAATTTACTATGTGCTATGGGAACGTGTAAAGATAATGATAAGTTTAAAGATTATATAAAAAATTGGAGTAAATATTAATTTAAATTTTTATGAACAGAATTGTTTAAGGAGAAGCCAATAAATAAAATGGAAAAGAATTTTGTTGGTTGCAAGAGTTTGCAGAGGCCCTGTCCGTTCAGTGCTGTCAGACAGTGGCAGGTCTCCTGTTATCAGTAGTGATAAGAGCCTCGGCCTCTTCATCGCTGATATCCAATAACCATCTATTAACTAGATTTTTGAATACACCTAATGTGGGTGAATGAAATAACTGAGTTGCTTTATACATAGTGGAATAATTCCGGAACAAAATATGTGCTATGTAGAAACAATTTGTTTTTGAAAAGGATTTATGCTGCTGAATAGTAGAAATTCCAATTCTATTTGCATATCTTGTATTATGAGTGTGGGTTATGGAAGTAAAAATTGAATTGAAGTTTTTAAATATAAAAATTAGAAGATCTTTAATAAACAATTTTGCAATGGGGAATATTCCAGTTTCATGAAATAGTAAATCTGAGGGGTATCTTTTACACTTTTTGAAACCAGCTTTTAGGATAGACTTTTGAACCACAATCAGACCTGTGAGATGTGAACTGTACGCCCCTCCCCAAGCTAATATTCCATAAGACAAAACCGACTGTACATATGCAAAATATGTTGATTTAATTTCTTTAAAACTGAGAACATCACTTAACTGTCTAAATGCAAATATAAGTTTTCTAGTTTTATTTTGCAAGAAATTAATATGCTCTATCCATTTCATATGTGAGTCAAAAATTATTCCTAAATATTTATATGAGTTAACTCTCTCTAAGGTATCGCACGAACAACTGTTATTGAATTGGTTGAGACAACTGTGCAAGATCAAATTGGTTAGGTTATAGTCAGCTCAAAAAAAGTTATAAAAAGTTATAATCAACACAAAAACCTTTATTAACGTCACAATGTGAGGTAATTAATACAGTACAAGTAATATATAAATGAGGTTGCTCTTGTGTATGAACCACAAGAAATATATGTATCAAAGTATTTGCAAAGAAATGCTACGGACAAGCCTTATATGAGGCTGATGTAGCTTAGTGTTATAATGTCCTTTGTCATTGAGTTTGTATTAAATAAATAAAATAAATTGATTTTCTTTTTTATGTGATAAATTTTCCACAAGTAGTGTACTTATAAGTGGCTCTCCAGTATGAACCAATGAATATCTCTTCATTTTGCATATTGTCAGGGATTTTCCATGGGTAAAGCACAAATAAGGTCACTTTCTGGTTTTAACCATTTTACCATTGTATGTATATATATGTATGTAATGAAATGAAATGAAAATCCTTCTTTATTGAGGCGAACTTAGGACCTCATGGTCCTTTCTTACAGTTAACCTCTAAATAATAATAGTAATAACAATAATACAGGATATGAACAAAAGTAAAATACACATTTCGTAACATAATTAATAATAAACAACATAACATACATTTCTTTTCCTAGCATACAGTCACACACACATACACTCTTTGCAGCAGCTAAGCCTAACACACGCCATCCCGTCACGCCACTACCATCCGGTTGAGATAATATTCTTTCAGTGTCGCCTTCAGTCGGGATCGGTTTTCTATGGATTTAATGGCATCGGGTATAGAGTTCCATAGGCGGCATGCTGTGACTACAAATGATTTATTATAAATAGTTGTTCTGTGACGAGGAATGCGCAACGTAGACGAGCCAGAGCGAGTATCCTTTGCACCTCTTAAATTCAAAATTCTTTGCAATGTAATTTGGAATTCCAAGATTGATAGCCGAATGAGTGATTGAAAGTATTCAGAGTTTTCTGAGGTCATCTAATTTCAAAATTGATTCATTTATGTAATAAGGTGTGACGTGGTCGTCCAGCCTAAGGTCAAACAGAAATCTAATACAATAATTTTGTGCACCTAGTTTTGTTGCCAAAGCCACAGTCATATCATTAACCACAGTGTTGCAGTAATTGAAGTGTGGAAACACAAGTGATTTGACCAGTAAGAGTTTAATGTGAAAAGGAAGGAGTCGTTGCATCTTCTTCATTGTGTGAATGGCAGCAAATACTCTTTTACAAGTATCTACCACCGCGTCAGTCCAGTCTAATGTGTAGTTCATCAGCAATCCAAGACTTTTGATTTTGTTTTGATATTACAAAGTAATTCCATTTACAGTGAGTTTTGGTAAATTGTCTTCTTCAAGTTTGTTTAGTAAACGTGAGTGACCTATAATGATTGGTTTTGTTTTGTCAGGATTGAGTCTAAGTCCATTCTGTGCTGCCCATTGAACAATGTTGTCAATGTCGTGATTCATTATGTCTATAGCTTCATTTGTATCGCTGACTTTAAAATGAGAATAAATTTGCAGGTCATCAGCATAAAAATGAAACTTTACGTGGTGTAGTACTGTACTAATGTAAACAGTGAAAAGTAGTGGGCCAAGAATTGAACCCTGAGGAACTCCACAGGGAACATTTCTCCAGTCGGACGTCAAGTTGTCATGACATACACACTGCTTTCGGCTCTGAAGATATGATCTCATCCATTTTAGTGAATTATCAGAAAAACCTAAAAGTTGGAGTTTGGCTAGAAGAATGCTATGATTTACAGTATCGAAAGCTTTGCTGAAGTCAAATAAGGTTAAGATAGTACATTGGCTGTGATCCATAGCAAATCGTATTTCATCAGTTATATGGAGCATCGCTGTTTCAGTGCTGTAATATTTACGAAATCCAGATTGGAAACTGTTGAGGATATTGTTTACTGACAAGAATTCGGAAACTTGAGAATGGACAATTCTTTCAAGAGCTTTAGAAAGAGCTGGAAGAATACTAATTGGTCGGTAGTCTTGCGGAAGTGATGGGGATGAGATCTTATTCAATGGGCGGACAAGCGCAGTCTTCCATTTTTCTGGGAAAATACCTGATCTGAGTGAGGTGTTGAATATGAAGGTTAATGTTGGGAGGAGAGCAAACAAGATACGTTTAATTAACGAAATCGAGATTCTGTCAGAACCAGTGGCATCAGACGTTATCCGCCTTATAGCCTTCAAAACATCAATCTGCAATATTGGCTTGAAGTTAAATTGAGGAATAGTATTGGGCAAGTGACGTGATTTTATCTGAGTTAAATGGTTCTGTACTACTGTGACGTTTGCATTTGACGAAACTGATAAGAAAAAATTGTTTAAATCATTCAATGGTATTGTTATTGGAACAGGTTTAACTTCCTTTCCAAGTCCAAAACGTTTCAGATTACGCCAGCGAACAGCAGAAGATTGAAAGTACTGAAGTCGAGAGTTGCGCAAATGTTGTTTAACTTGATTTCTAAGCTGGCGATACTGGGCCATAAGCCCCTGGTCTCTAGTTCTTTTAGCTCTGCGATAGACTGAATCCCGCCGAGCCATTAACCTAATAATCTCCTCAGTGATCCACGGAACGGGGCGACTTTTACTAACTCTACGGTTCACAATTGGAGCGTGTTTGTCGTATAATTTTATTATGGTTTCATTAAGTGAATCAACCATATCATCAACTGACTCCAGGGTATGTATGGAGTGCCAAGGTATTGATATAACTTCTGACAAAAACTCTGCTTCATTAAAATTTTTAAAATTTCTGTAAGAGATGAATTTTTGTTTGGGCTTAGGAGCTCTCATGGCAAGGGCGCAATAAATTAGGTCATGTCGTGAAATGGCAGGAACTGGAAGCTGGCCATGGTGGACTGAAAATTCGGGATCACTTAAAATAATAAGGTCTAGTATTGTATCAGCTTCAGCAGTGTGATGGGTCGGGTCCAGTGGGAGTATCGTCATGTTGCAAGAGTCAAACATGTTTGTCAATTGTCTGCAGTAGTAACTTCCAGGTTTGAGTAAGTCACAGTTAAAGTCACCCATGATCAAGACACGACTGTAGCCTGGCATGAGGCGCAAGAGAGAATTTTCAAAGTCGGCCAGATGACCCACTCCCGGAGGGCGGTAACATGCCCCCAGGAGAAGAGCATCTGAACCACACAAACCAATTTCTAAAAAAATTAATTCGGGTTTCGCCAAGTACTCACCCGGGGACTCGCACAACTGCCTGGCTTGCAAACCATCTTTTACATAGACAGCGACGCCACCACCTGTTTTTCCCAGGCGATCATTTCTGAAAATTGAATAGCCAGGCAGTGCGATCAATCCAGATGAAATACTTGGCTTTAACCAAGTTTCAGAAACTGCAATAATTTCAAAATGTTGAGGCCGAAAAACTACTCTGACTTCGTCTATGTGTTTTGAGAGTGATTGGGCGTTGATGTGAGCGGCTTTAAATTGTTTGGAGAAGGGAGTGAGGTTGTCGATAAGGATCTGAGCGTTATCAGTAGGGAGAGGAGTGGGCGAGGGAGGGGTAACTGAGGCGACGCTGTGCAGGTCCGCTATCCTGGACCTACAGCTCGGACCCGCGGCGAGGCAACGACGACGCGCACCGACGTAGCTGCAACAAACACATTCACACGCACACACATTCCACGGACATGCAAGCTTGCAAAAAATAAGTATAAATATTTACATGTAATATTAATCCTTTCTGTCATGACAGTTGAAATTAAACCGCAATGAACACATTTATATTCGGCTCCTGACTATTGACATTAGATAAAAGAAAATGTATAATCTGTATGTATAATGTATAATACATATATAATGTATGTAAAATGTATAATGTGTTATGTATAATCTTGTTTTCTCATGAAGGATTTTAAACAAGTAGTACATCGATTTTCAGTATGAACCAATCTTATATGACTTATTTTGTTTATGGTTGTGAAAGATTTTTTACAAGTACTGCATTTTTCAGATTACTCTGCAGTATGAATTAATGTATGTTTCTTCAGATGAATTTTGTTGGTGAAAGATTTTCCGCATGTACTGCACTTATAAGGTCGCTCTCCAGTATGAACCAATGAATGTCTCTTCAAATTGCTTTGCTCTCCGAAGGATATTCCGCATGAACTGCACTTATAAGGTCGCTCTCCAGTATGAACCAATGAATGTCTCTTCAAATTGCTTTGCTCTCTGAAGGATATTCCGCATGAACTGCACTTATAAGGTCGCTCTCCAGTATGAACCAATGAATGTCTCTTCAAATTGCTTTGCTCTCCGAAGGATATTTCGCACGAACTGCACTTATAAGGTCGCTCTCCAGTATGAACCAATGAATGTCTCTTCATATTAGTGTTGGTTGTAAAAGATTTTCCGCATATACTGCACTTAAAAGGTCGCTCTCCAGTATGAACCGATAAATGTTTTTTCATAGTTTTTTTGGTTTTGAAAGATTTTCCGCATGTACTGCATTTATAAGGTCGCTTTTCAGTATGAACCAATGAATGTGTTTTCATTTCATTTTTGGTTTTGAAAGATTTTCCGCATGTACTGCATTTACAAGGTCGCTTTTCAGTATGAACCAATGAATGTCTCTTCAAATTGCTTTGCTTTCCGAAGGATATTCCGCATGAACTGCACCTATAAGGTCGCTCTTTAGTATGAACCAATGTATGTCTTTCCATAACATTTTTGGTTGTGAAAGATTTTCCGCATGTACTGCACTTATAAGGTCGCTTTCCAGTATGAACCAATAAATGTATTTTCATAGTATTTTGTGTTTTGAAAGATTTTCTGCATGTACTGCATTTATAAGGTCGCTTTTCAGTATGAACGAATGAATGTGTTTTCATTTCATTTTTTGTTTTGAAAGATTTTCCACATGTACTGCACCTATAAGGTCGCTCTCCAGTATGAACCATTAAATGTCTCTTCATATTATTGTTGGTTGTGAAAGATTTTCCGCATGTAGAGCACTTGTAAGGGCTCTCCTCAGAGTGTTTCATCAAATGACTCTTTACAAGCTTTAGTTGTAGAAAGGTTTGCTCACATATCAAACATTTAAAGGGCCGCTCACCCGTATGCTCTAATATATGTGTCCTCATTTTCCACTGAGATGAGAAGATAATTGAACATACTGGACATTTAAAAGGGAGCTGTTTATTGATGTTTAACATTTTTTACTTATTACTATCGAATTATGAGGAACACTTATCAGGACCAAGTAACAAACTACATGAGTCAACTAGTCAGTATGATTTGTATGTCTATTTAAATATTTCCCTTGGTTGAAGAATTTGTTAACTATTCAATAGTTACATACTCATTCATTTTCAGACATCTGTTGATCTGTTGCTCAAATCTTGTTACCAATGTTTTGGAGGTGTAATATAGGAGTGGAATTTTCCTTTTATCTGCTTGTTTTTTTTTTCAATTATATTTATTTTTCTTATTATATTGAATTGTATATTTTAGATTTCTTTTCCTCATGTCTGGGATAGTATATTGCCACTTCTGAAAAAGACCATGCTTTATTAGACATATATATTTTTATAGCACATTTAAGCTTTCTGTTCATTTAGGTTTAGCATTAATAAAAAAAAATACAATAATACTTGCTCATTAATATCATAATCCAAAATATCAGGTTTGTACACCCACACGGCATTTAAAATTATGTTGGCTAATCTAAATAAGAACGGATTAACATCTATTGTAGCCTATTTGGAACTTTTTCTGAAGTATCTTTAACCTCACGCCTTGAACGTTGATTTCTACTCATTGCAAACAAGTTTAGCTTGCTAACTGTGGAATTTTTAGGAAAGGTCATGATTATTACGTGAGTCATTTCATTATAAAATGAAATGACTTCCTTTGTAAATTTCCGAATATTTTAAATTCGGGATTTATTGTAGTCTTTAGTCAATATTTTGTATGAAGTGGAATAACCTCAACGGCTACTCTTAGAAAATAACCTGGATGGAATAGGTTCGTACAGGATGAAATATATTTGTTAATTTAGTAAGTACTATGACAAGTTCCAATCCCCCCTGCGGTTTCGGGGTTAGAATAGGATCGCAGCCCTCCCGGGCTTGTCGTAAGAGGCGACTAAAAGGGTGACTGACGTCCTCACTGGGAGTCCCTGGGAGTGCCCCTGTTGTGTTGCAGGGGTTGATGTGTGCTCTGCACTGCCGATGGGTATTCCCAGTGTGTCGTGAGGAGCCAGCCACTTCGGTCCTTGGTCAGGAAGTGCGGCATGGATGCAGAGGTCGGGCTCTGCATTGCAACAGGCGACCCCCGGCACGTCAGGTATCCGGTGCTGGGCAAACGGAGGTCGGGCCCCGGGGAACTGGGGTAGGGGATTGTCCCCGAGGGTATACCCGCTCCTGACTAAATCCGGGCCGTCTCTTGCCGCACGATGCGCTGGTAAACACATGTATGGCTTGTCAAAACCCCCCACCCAACACATTATTTAACAGCAGCTCAAATGAGCAAAAATCGAAGTCGGAAAAGGAGTGGAGCCCTTTTGGGCGTAGCTCCAAGGTCAAGAGGTCGCCACCAGCGAACAACATTAAGGCAACTCCACCGCCTGCAACCTTTAAGGGCTCAAATGAGTTCCCCCCACTAAGATCTCCTTTGACAAGTGGAGAAGGAAAAGTAGACGTTGAACCGGCGTTGACGGGAACCCTCCTGGAAAGTACAGCGCCGAAAATCAGCCCCCAGAGGTCGGATCCCGAACTTCAGCGTTACCGTGAACAATACGACGATGCTGATGAGGAGGAGTCTGACCTCCTGGTAGAGATGATGGACCTCATCAATAATATGGAGGGAACCTTGAAGCTCCGGACCAACGTAAACCGGTCAATCAAGGACGGTCTCCCAAAGGTGAAGGATCGGGTTGCCCGAGTTCTCGAAATTAAAGGCTTGATGAGACAGGCTTTAGTTAATGAACGGGAGCTTGTGAACCAAGTTTTAGCCCCTAAACTGAACGACAAGGGCGGGAATCAAAGGAAACGGGCAAGGAGCTCACCAGCGGAGAGCCCCGATCTTCCTGAATTGGCCAATCAGCCTCTGTCAGATGTCGAGCAGAAGGTCGAGGACAGGGCCACCCAGATGACACCCCCTACTGAGCACACTCCAGCTCTAAAGAAGCGCCCTCAGCAAACCAGGGAGCTTGCCTCTCTCCCAACGGTTGACGGAAGCAGCTCTATGAACTCTGCTGTGGCACCATCAAATGTGGGTAACTGGGAGAAGAGGCTTTCCCGCAAAGAAAAGAGGAAATTGAGACGAATGGAGGCTGTCTCTAACAAAGAACCTGCAGCAAGAGATCGAAAGATTGCTGACCCTGCTCCGGCGAGGGAGGTTCGTGGAAAGGCCCCCCCTGTTTCAAAGAAACCCAGGCCGAGAAAGCCCAGGGCTGAGGCAATCCTGATCAACCCCTTAGGGGGGCGCTCTTTTGCTGAAGTCTTGGGTCGACTCAAGTCTAAGGCCAAGCCAGAGGAGACGGATACGATTGTTAAGTCAATCAGGTGTACCCAGAATGGGAAAGTTCTCCTCGAGCTGGGGAAGTCTGGTGACCGAGTGGCTTTTGCTGCAAAGGTCAGAGAGGCTCTGGGGGACCACGGTACTGTTCGGGAACTCTAGCCTAGGACCTCGGTGGAGATCCGGGACCTTGACGGTCTTTCGACTGAGGCTGAAGTCAGGGAGGCTATCAACAAGGCCATCCCTGATATCCAAAATGCCGACTCCCTCAAAGTATGGCTTACGCGGCCCAACCGCAGCGAGCAACGCATAGCTATCGCTGAAATGCGAAACCAAGATGCCAGCAAGCTGCTTAATCTCACACACCTGAGAATTGGATGGGTCAATTGCAGGCTCAGACGGAGGGTGGTTGTACCGCGATGCTTTCGCTGCCTCGGGTTTGGTCACTCTTCCCGAAACTGTAAAGGACCCGACCTATCCAAGAATTGTTTCAGGTGTGGCGGCTCGGGCCACAACAGGAAGAACTGTACCGCAGCAGAGCGTTGTTTTCTCTGCGCAGAGAAAGGCCAAAAGGACGCCTCATTAGGTCACATTCCAGGGGCTGGGCGATGCAGTGTTTTCAAGGCTGCACTCGACCTTGAGAAGGCTAGGTCTAGGAAGTGAGGATTCTCCAGGGTAACATTGAGAGGTCCAGAACGGCTGACTCCCTCTTAGATCAGCTGGCCCAAGAGATTGGTGCGGACACCCTTCTGATCAGCGAGCAGTACCGTGACAGGGACCCACACTTCTGGTTCCCAGATTCTCTTGGTACTGCCGCTTGTTGGGTTCGAAACAGCACGGAAGCACCAGTGCGAGATCACGGACGCGGCCGAGGCTTCGTTTGGGTCAGGTGTAGGGACGTCACGTTTTTTAGTGTCTACCTTACCCCCAACGAGCCAATTCGGGAATTCCGTCTGAAGATTGACCGCTTAGAAGACAGTGTACGTGGTACCGTTGGGCATGTCGTTGTTGCTGGTGATTTTAATGCGAGGGCTGTGGAGTGGGGTATGACCTCTACAAACTCCCGGGGGAAATACATCCTGGACTTTGCCACCAGGGCCGGACTTGTCGTCTTAAACGAGGGCGACACGCCTACTTTCCGGCGCCCCGGCATGAGAGGTCCGATCCCCGATATCTCCTTCTCGTCGGAATCACTACTAGCACGGATCTCCAACTGGAGAGTCATCGAAGACCTCACGGCAAGTGATCATCAGTACATCGTTTTTGATATACTGGATGAACACCATAATCAGGCGCCTGTATCACGATCTGGACCACGCCGATGGAATACGGACAAGCTGGATGTTGAGAAGTTCACTGACGTAATCTCACGGGGAGCGCTGGTGAATTCTGCTGCACCTGTTGACGCCGAGGCATTGGTAACGTCCACGATGGAACTGATTGTCTCGGCTTGTGACCAGGCCATGCCACGCAGGGGACGCCGTCGCGATAAGCAAGCTGTGTACTGGTGGACTTTAGAGATCTCGAACCTTCGGAAAGCTTGTCTGAAAGCCAGACGTGCCGCTATGAGGGCCAGAAGATTCCCGGATTTCGAGGCTAAGTCAGCGGCTTATAGGGCTGCGAAGAAAGCTCTTCGTCGGGCTATCATCAGGAGCAAGGTTAGCTGTTGGAGGAGGCTTCAGGAGGATGTTGACTCTGATCCTTGGGGACTGGGCTACAAGGTTGTAACCCAGAAACTCGGCGCCCGATCACCACCTTCCGTCATGGAGGGCACCACCATGGACAGGATCGTCACCGCCCTCTTTCCGTCTCATCCTCGGCGGCCTTTTTTCGACTATGGCGAGGTAGGGGACATTCCACTCTTTAGCATTAAAGAGCTGGAATCATCTGTCCTCTCCCTGAAAAATAGAAAAGCACCTGGTCCTGGTGGTATTCCCAGTGAGGCTCTCAAGAAGGTATTCTCAGTTAACCCCCTCTTACTGCTGAGAATGTACAACACATGCCTGTGCGAAGGGGTTTTCCCAACTCCTTGGAAAAGGGCTAGGCTTGTGCTAATCAGCAAGGGGAAAGGTGACCCGAATATGCCGTCGTCTTACAGACCCCTCTGTATGTTGGATGTGGCCGGAAAACTCTTCGAGAAACTGATCCGCTGCCGCCTGACGTCTGCCGTGGAAGCTGCCGGAGATTTGTCTCCTCGTCAGTACGGCTTCAGAAAGGGTCGGTCAACAATCGACGCGATATCCGAGGTACACAGAGCGGTAGAGCGTGCCGAGAGCTTCCATCATTACTCTCGCCGTATCGTGCTTCTTGTTACGCTAGATGTCAAGAATGCTTTTAACTCGGCGAGATGGGTCGATATGTTGAGCGCGTTGAGGAACAGCTTCCGCGTACCAGCATATCTGTTGAGGCTGATCGAGGACTACCTGCGCTGCAGAACTCTTAATTACGAAACTAAAGATGGTTCGCGGACGATGGATGTTACTTCCGGTGCCGCGCAAGGTTCGATACTCGGCCCAGATTTGTGGAACGCTGCCTACGACAGCCTTCTGAGATCTGAGATGCCAGAGGAGACCGTTTTAGTTGGGTACGCCTATGACGTCGCAGCCCTCATTGCTGCACGCAACGTTGAGCTAGCCCAACTGAAACTGAACCAAGTCATGCGCGTTGTAAACGCCTGGATGACTGATCATGGTCTGACACTCGCTCTGAGCAAGACAGAGATCGTCATCCTCACGAAAAAACGGATTGAAACCATCGTTCCGCTACGAGTTGGGAACGTAGTTGTCCAAACCACGCGAACCGCCAAGTACCTTGGTGTCATGGTGGACAACAAGCTGAGCTGGAGGGACCAGATCTTCCGTACGGCGGACAAGGCTGCTAGGAGTGTTGCTGCTCTTAGTAGGCTTATGGCCAATGTCGGTGGTCCACGGTCCAGCCGTAGAAGACTACTGATGTCTGCAGTCCAGTCCGTGCTTCTCTACGGCTCAGAGGTGTGGGCAGACGCGCTTAACAAGGAGGCGTATAGGTTGAGG